GGGGGGAAGGGGGGAAATGGGAATGGAGAGAGGAGGGGAAATGGGAAGGGGGAGTGCGGATGGGAGTCGGGGGTTTGAGGGAGTGGGATGGGGAGGTGGTCAGGGTAAGAGTGCGGGTGGGTTGAGGCTGCGAGGGTTTGGGGACTGGGAAAGGTATTGGGCAGACGAGGGTTGGGAAGAGTTGGAGGTTCGGGGTTCGGAGGTGCATACAAACGTAGCGCACACATAACGTAATGCACAATTCGGACGTGTACACTTTTTATGCGTTTTGTGCGTGCTTTTATCCGATCCGCGTACTTCGATTTGAGGAACACATTCTGAGGGACACACATTTTACGTTTTCATGAAGAACAAACATTTTGACAATGTACATCTAGACAGCACTACATTACAATAGTACATTTAGTACATTACGTTAAGATAATTGGCCAACGCATGGGCTGCTCATGCGAAGATGCGTTTTTTGCATAGCTCCCCGCAGATTTTTGTCACTAACGGCACTTGTTTTTCTGGCAGATGCTTCTAGCTGAACAAATTAAGCGGCTGCCAGAACTGGCAGAAAACGCTCCCCTAAAATTTCAGCTTTCTAGCTTTCCTAGCTCCTGAGTTATCGTCTAATGGACGGGGAACATCCCTCTAAGATTTCAACTTCTAGCTCCCCGGGTTATAAACTTACCCGAGGAAAATTTTGGCGGGTCCGTACGCGGGCATCACGCCTACTCGGGGCTGGGTATGAGCTCATTAATACTCACTTGGACGGGAAACATTCCCTTAAGATTCCAGCTTTCTGGCTTCTCAGATCCCCAAGTTATGAACTTAACCGTAAAAAACTTTGGCGGGGCCGTACGCTGGTACCACGCTGGTAAGGACTCCCATTCTGGGGACTGAGGCCCGTACGTGCATGTAGATTAAGTTCCCAAAGTTCCAGACCTGCAGCTTTTATAGGTCTTGAGATGAAAAATCGAGACAGACGCACACACGGACAACCCCAGTGTTTTCAGCACTGTATAGTTGCAAAAAACGCATAAAAATTGGTTTTCGACAGTAAGAATTGATAATATATTGATAATTTGTCGTTTTTAAACAAAATTTTATTTCAAAATCAAAGAAGGTATACTTTCAGTCGTCGAATTTCACTGTTCCGGTATAGCTGTGCAGCACGTTTCCTCCTGATCGTTATCCATACACAGTATACTTTGTAAGCGAGAAAACCAAAATACAAGAGTACGCACAGCGATGCTGTATAAATTGACGTGTACTGCAAAATTATAATACTGCAATTGTACTTACTCTGAAATTTTGAATAGCTACAGCTCATGATGCTCCTCTCCGAATATCAACTAATGATCTTTTCAGCTGCTTTGATCAATGCATCACCAGCTGCTGGTCAGGTTGTTGCTATGCTGACATTCGTTCCACCTCTTAGAAGGACCACCAGCTCAACGGTTTTCTCCATAAAAGTACTTGACAAAGCTTTAGGTGTTTCGAAATTTCATTAGTAGTTGAGCATCGTAACCTTGTCTCGAACGTTGCCATACCTAGACCACGATGCGGTACCTTACCAAACAGGAGAGGGATAAATAATGCTGTAAATAAAAAAGGAAGCATAAAAGAAACAAATGTGGTACTAAGCTAGGGATTTAAAACTTAGCATTTTGCTGGGGATGGGATAACAAGGAGTTAAGAGGATTAGACTACAGCGCTATCCCTCGTCTTCCTTCTCCCGCCAGGCCCTTCTCTCATCTGCCCCGCTTCCTTCCTTCCAAATTTAGAAAAATCCGGATGCATCGGTAAAATCAGGAACTATGCCACACTTCGCTCTATTTTGTACATGAAGTCGAGGATTTTAACAGTCATGATAAGAACTTACGGCCAATCGTGAGCCCATTTCGGATGACCATATGTTGAAGAATGGATTGACCAGCTGCATGCCACGTTCAGCCATATCATAAATTAAGAAACACGCCGATCCAACTAATACAGACGTCAAGTTGCGCCAGTAAGAACTCTAGAAATAGGCGAAACTACCCGTATTGGTAAGATGCAGTCACCGTGAGTGCAGTTACCCAGACCCTCCTGTTCGGGAATAAATACCTCCAATATTGCCCCGTGCTGTTTCTACTAAACAGTTAAATCATTCTGTTTGTGCTTTTGACTTTTGATAAATTTATAAATGTGCTGCGATAGTTAGTTTTGATTTTTGGCTGCCAATAATTTGCTTCCTAGACTGTACTAATTTAGCCAGGAAACATGCACACATCGGGAAGTAGCATTGCTCTGCTGCAGAAGCTCGGGGTTCAACTGCTCTGATGCAACAAAAGTCAGGCCGTCCATAACTGGTTAATCTGTTTCGATGGTAAATTGGTAATGGCAAGTGCTAGCGAATCAATGCTGTCATAAGCCTGCTTCTTCTAGGCAACCTTTGAAGGAGACTTTACTGAATGTTATTGGTTGCTGCTGACATTTGCTAGCGCTTGGCTATTTGCTCACTACCTTAGTCGCTCATGAAAAGCGAAAACGGAGGGGGTTTTGATTTTTGACTGATTCAAAACAGCTTCAACAATTTGGATAATAGTACAACATCAGAATATTGTATGTGTGCCAATTTGTATAGAAAAACGAGGGATTGCTAGGGCGCAGCGTTAGAAGAGAAGAAAAATAGTGAAACGAAAAAAAAAAACTTTCTTACTGTAGATACGCATTTTTGCACTTTCTAACTTCTTCATATTTGTTTTTTAAGTTATTTTAAGTAAAACCGCCTGGACTATCAGGGTGGATATCTCATATTAGTGATTTTACTGGAATTCTCCCAAACGCCGACAACAGCCACGTCAGATCCCTCGATCCTCAGCTGCAAACTTCCAGCTACGTAAGCAGAAACGCAAAACGTGCACTATGCGACGAATGCAGGAACGATATAAACGAATGCGCTATTTCACGGTTTTTTATTAGTTTTTTTTTTGAAAAAAAATAAACGGAATATGAATCACTTACGTCAAATGGAGCACTATGCGAAATCACGATGGTTCACGTAATTTACAGGACTTAAGCATTGACAGCTTACCAGATTATTTCTGGACGTATCGTCGATGAGAT